ATGAGCCCGGTACCCGACAACACCTGTGTTTACGTACTATGACTGGACAGGCGCATCCGTAGTCGCAGCCGCAGCCAGCTGAGATGATGCTCGGTGCGGGCTAGCAGATGCGTGTTGCGGAAGGTGCAGCAAAGGGCAGACCCCGAAGAGTGGATTTCGTCTCCGGGATCCTACCGCCACGTGTGGACACGGATCTGGTACGGTGCGGATGTGGAAACTGAACGCGCCATGTGCATGCAAACGCGGCGTCAGGAGCCATGAATCAAGTACCGGGAGTTACTCACACAGTGCTATGCCGACTGCTGTGATAGCGGAGTTCTACCGGCAGTCGGTCCATTGCAAGCACGCCATGGGAACGGCACCGAGTCGAGTACGCCGGCGCCTCACCGCGGCCCTTGTCCCATTTCCCGCTGCTCGACACGACTTGTGCTTGAGTCACTGAGACGAAAAAAAATTAGAGAGGGGAGGAAGAGGGAAAAAAACTTGCGCCCCTCCAACGCCGGCACGGAAGCGTCATAACGGCCCAGAGCCGCTCTGCGTGGGTCACTGGAAATAAAACAGTCAACGCATTACGGATACATGTCGTGGATTAATGCTTGTTGGGCCCGACGTGCCGGTTACGGACCATTTCGTCGTTCCACTTTGCTGAGGCGATTCAAGACCCAATCGCCATGCATAGCCGCAAAGTCGTCACCCGACTTCCAGCATACTGGGTAAGGTAGGCTTGTGTTGTCTTGTCAGCCCGATCCAACCTGCCGCGACGCAAGTTCCGCTCCCGACACTTCACGGAGCTTCCTTCTTAGTCGCAGCCGACAGCACATTCAAATGACCCAGCTATTCTTAAGCATGCCGTAGATTCCTTACTCAACGCCATGGCCTTCTGCTCACCGTGTCTGGCCGTGCAGTGACCATTCAGTTTGGAGCACTATAGGAGCTGGGTGACCCCTCCGATTGACAGTCACACAGGATAAAACATTGGGGACCCTCGATTGAGCCATGCTTACTTGTGTGTCTCTACTACCTCCAATGCTAGCCCCTTATCCGTTACATGAAAAAAAATGAACAAACTCAGAAAACACCCATTCTACGATCCCCGTTTCAGCAGCAACATACAGCATCATTCATGGCCAGGACGTAATAGCCGTGTCTCTCGGAAGAAAAAGAAAATCGGCGACCGAAATGTCAATTACCATCTATCAAGCAGAACCCTTCTGTGGTTTGCTGCTTGGCCCAAACCTCGTAATGCTGAGGTGGCGCGCAGTGTAGACACCGCCACCTCTGTGGGTGCGGAAAGCACTTGTTGGAATAACACATTTTCCTCAAGTCCCGATCAGCATGGATGCCAAGAACCTATCAACAAAAAGTGACTTATGCCTGCATCGCTCAGCTCTGCTTGCACTCAGCCGCCTCCTGCTTAGGTTTGCCGGTATCGTCCTGTACATCATGATCAGCTCTGTTACGCGAGGCAGACATGGGCTCGGCTATTAAAGTCGCGGTAGCACTCACCTCGTCCTCAGACTCTTCGTCTTCGTCACGGTCCTCGCTAAGATCGTCGTCATCGTCGTCATCGTCGTCATCGAAGTCACCCTCCAAGTCGTCATCGTCCAACTCCTCAAAGGCCAGAGCTTCGCCAGTAAACCAGTCGATGGCACGGGGAATGAGCTTCTCCTTGATGTCCTCTCCAAGCTGGTAGTCCAGCTCAAGGCGCTCCTCGATGTCGGAAGCGGCGTCGTCGTCCTCCTCCGTGGGGGCCTGAGGAGGCGAGAAGAAGTTGAAGAAGGACTCGGTGGGAACCGTCTTCTTAACGATACGAGTCTGCTTCGTGTCTATGACAATGGTCAGCGGCCATTTCTTGTATTCCGAATACGCGCCTTCCAAACTCACTCTTGTTCCTCTGCTTCTTGCTCTCGATTCGAACAGTGAGATCCTTGCCTTCCTTCCAATCGATTTTGTCACCTTCGGCATGATCATAGATGAAGTCACCACCGTAGCCGCTCTCGCTCTGGTAGAAGTAGGTTTTGGTGATGGTCTTGTTGGTGAAAAACTCGTTCTCGGCAAACTCGAAGATGAGGCGGAAACCAGGCTTGTCGAGGTACTCCATGCGAATATCAACAAGGTGCTTCAAGGCGGCCTCATCACGGTCGGTAATCATCTCGGCAAGAGAAATTTGGTTCTTCATGGCAGACAGCCAGAACTCGGGGATACCAGAGACGTCGGATGACTCGGTAGACTTATCCGTCTTCTCGGCGTCCTCGGGCTCCTCGTCATCATCCTCCTCCTCGCCAGCCTTGATCTCTTCCTCGGAAGGCTCAGAGCCTCCGTTCACAATTTTGGCACGCTTCTCGTAGAGAGGAGTGAACTTGGCGAAGTACTTCTTCTCCAGCTGGAGAACCTCCTCCTGGAACTCGGCCTCGAGCTTGGAGTGCTCCTTCTGAATGCCCTTGAGGCCAGCGACACGGCGGCGCACCTGAGGGGGCAGGGACTCGATGTAACCGGAGGAACGGCCGACGAGGGAGCCAAGTCTTCCCTGGATCATTTGAACGAGCTTCGGGTTTTGGGCGAAGATGGAGGCAGCGGCGGCGCGATCAAGATCCTCTGACGGAGAATTGCGAGTTAGTTATCATCCGATGGAGGGGCATGGGCGAAGCCAAATGGCGGAAGAGGGGCACATACCCTCCTTGATGCTGTCAACGCCGGGCTGCTGGGCGTGCGAGGAAATGGGCGCATTCTGAAGGGGGGTATTCTGCGGCGTACTGAGGGCAGACGATGATCGTTAGCCATCACGAGGAGAGAACTTTTCGTCGCCGTACACTGCGAGCGAGAAGCGAGGGGTCGCCACCCAGAACATAGTGCAGCAGCCGTGGGGGAGGTCAGATACTTACGGCGCAGTGGCCGGGTCAAGGCGCTTGTTGCGAATAGGCTCAGCCATGATGTGCGATCGACTCTGAAGCCTGTGGAAAGAGACGATGGAGTGAGGGTTGTCGAGACCGAAGGGGATTGGGATTGAGATTGACAGGGCGAAAAGAGGAAGACGCCGAGGGTGGGAAGTTGTAGATGCCCAGTCAAGTCTTATTTTGGTGGGGGGCGGCAACTGGCAAAAAAAATTCTAGGAGCCAGACTTTGTCCTGCGTTCGTTGGGGCGGGTACCGCTGCTAGGCGCCTTCCACGAGTAGTGAGTAGTGACTAGTGGACGGGGCAGTCGACAGCGGGCGGGCTCCAATGGACATCACATAGCGGCCAGCTCTACCTACTGATGGCCATCCTCCACTTACCTTAGGTAAGGCAAGGTACCTACCTGCCTAGGTACCTGCCTTACCTACCTACCTTGTAAGGTGGGCAAGTAGGTAGGTGCAGTAGGTACCTACAGTGAGGTGAGGTGGCAGGGTGAAAATATTGGCGGGTAGGGTACGAGGCGCTGGGCGGACATTTGCTGAAGCCTCAGGCCGGGCACCCGTTGTCTTTCCTAGGTAGGTACCAGAGGTACCTGGCAGCGCGAGCCCTGGGCATCTTTACCTCATCCTTCCAGTTTGCCCCTTCCCATGCCTCCCCCCCCCCGGGGGGGGGGGGGGGGGGCGCAAGACGTTGATACTTCGGGCTCACAAAGCGGTAAAGACTACGAATGCATACCCCGGTCCAGCCGTGTCGGTGAAGCAAAAAGACTCTTGAGATTCAGTCCTGGTGGACATCGGGGCCAGTTCTTATAGGCCAGCTGCCAGGCTGTCTCGACATGGTAAGGTGTACTGTCGTGTATTGAAGTCGGCCCTTGCCCTGGTGATTTGGATATTGCCGTGGCAGTGTCAGACAACTAAGAGCGGAATGTGTGTACCTCTTGGGAACTTTTGGAGCGCCCGGATATGTTGGCAAAGCCAAACGGCAGCAATCCCTCTTAGTAAAGTAGGTAGGTAAAGTTCCTAAGGTACCTTGGGTATGTACGTAAGTCATCAACGTACAGTGAGGGACAGGACGCCGACGGAATGCACACCAAGGTAGACTGAACTGGACCTACCTTGCAGGTAAGGTAATTTGGCGTCGAGTGGAGATACTGAGGCAGACGTTCACATCCACGTCCACGCTCGCCTCCAGCCCAGGTGACAACCAAACAGCATGATATCTGTCAATACCTTAAAGCTTGTTTCTAGAACACTAAAAAAACTGGGTAACAAAACCAAAACCAAAACCAAAGCCCAGGTGACAAGGTACCTACCTACCTAAGGTACGGATAGGTAGTGCAAACAATGAGATAGCATAGTAGCCACGCTCAAGGGTTTCGTTTCCCAGTCTCCCGCCGTCTGCACTGGATTGAGGATTGAGGGGTTCAGCCCACCTCAGGTTGTGCCGGGGTGCTTACCTAACCCACTGTACCTAGGTAGGTAGCTTCTAGTCCCCTCCCTAGGACTTCAACGTCTTATAATTAAGGGATGAGGACCTAAGGTAAGGTACCTAATGGAAGACACCCTACCTACCTTACCTACCTACGTAGTCTCATTCGCTGGCGGCTACTCAGGTGCTTTGCCTTGTGCAACCACAGTACGGACGCTGCGGCGATGTACCCTGCCTTGCCGGACGGACCATCATCGCACGGAGTCGACTCGGAATGCGCTAACCAGCAAAACATTCTTTATTTTCAGTTCCCAGTGCGACTCAGGCTTTCACACTAATTCAAAAGGCGCTGCTCGTCCACGCTCGCAACTGCGTTGCGCCGCCTACACGGACGTCCACCGTTCCACATCCATATCGCGATTCGCTCAAAGCCGAACAACGGGGGCCTTCGCGACACCTCACATCCCTCTGCACTTGGCTAAGCTTCGCCGAGTGGACCGCCGCATAGCTACCGTTTTTTCGTTCCGCTGCCATGTGCCTCTTCCACTTGGCCTACAGTATCGTCTCTTCTCACTCGGTGTCCGGGTAGCTCGACGAATTTCTGTCCATTCTATCTTCGAAGCGTAAACACGAAAACCTGGTAGCGTGACGCTGAAACTGAACCCGCATCAAACGTCATCATGGATCAAGATACGGATCAAGGGCACCATCGTGCCTCCTCGACGTCGAGAGCGAATGGCCATGCCCCCCTATACCGTCTCAACTCCAACCAGAGCAGCACGAGCATATTTGAGGAGGTTGAAATGGCCCACGATGAGGTAGGCTCTTTGACAGCATCGCCACCAAACGGGCAAAAGCTAAACTTCTTGTCTTGGCAGCTCTTCTCCGGACCAATGGCCGAGAGTCTCCCGACCAGCGTTTCTGCTTTCTCGCATCGCAGACCACGCGCCGATTCTACCACGAGCTTTGCTTACTACCGAGACGAAGATGATTTGGAGCTCTCCCCCACGTTCGATGAAGAACGCCGAAACATGTCCGACGTTGGTGATTTTACATTCGGCGAGGATGACGAGAGCGATCTAGATATTGAAAATGGCGATGACTACATGGCGCATCGCCGAAGGTCATCGACACATTCACGGTCTTCCGTTCATGCTAGGCTGTTGCGCCGAGACAGTGCGACGACAAGCAAGAGCTTGGGTGGAGACGGTCGAATCAGTCAAAAGGTCTACATGGTCAACGAGGACCTCACGATCGTCATCGCAGGCTTTCGGACTAGTCGCTTGGGCTTTGTCGCTTATGCTCTCCTCTGCATTTGTACTCTCGGCCTCTCATGGCTTTTGCTGAGATGGTTTCCTCGATGGCAAGTGAGGTTGCTGGGGCGTCCATCTCCATTAGCTGAATGTGACTGGGTGGTTGTCGAAGTAAGTCTACGCAGGTCACTGATGGGCTCCATATCTAACTCGACTAGAACCAATGGGGTGAGTTCGCTCCCATGGACGTGGATAAGAAGCTCTACGGGAGACCAATGTCAACAATTTTCGGCTCTAGCGAGAAGGGCTATATGATGGACGATGATTACGACCCCATCATTACCGAGCTTCGCATGCTCAACTACCGCTATATTCGCCTATACTTCAACCAGCAAACAGACAAGTTCATCATGTTCAACGGATGGGTGGACCCCAATTGGACCGACCCTCGAGCTGTCAGGGCTGGCATAGACAGCGACGAAAAAGGACTCCGGGAGGTTGTATTCGGTAACAACCTTATAGACATCGAGCAGAAGTCCATACCACGCCTTCTTGTGGACGAGGTACGTAATCTTGGCTTTGAAGTGCCATGATACTGACACTCTTAGGTGTTCCATCCCTTCTATGTCTTTCAGATAGCCAGCTTGATTCTTTGGTCACTGGACGAGTACTACTACTACGCTGTCGCCATATTCTTGATGTCATTTGGTAGTATTACGACCACTCTCATCGAGACCGGGGCGGTAAGCTCCCCATACCATGCATTGATGGGTTCCATGGCTCACTGGTACAGACCATGAAGCGCCTTCGGGAGATTTCGCGCTTTGAATGTGACGTCAGAGTGCTTCGGAACGGATTCTGTGAGTGCTGTGCCAGAACATTTAACTCTAGCTAGACTGACGATACACGAGGGCGCTTCGTGCCTTCAAGCGAGCTTGTGCCCGGTGATGTCTATGAGGTCAGCGATCCGAACCTGACCCAGTTTCCCAGTGACGGCTTGTTGTTGAGCGGCGACTGCATTGTCAATGAGAGCATGCTTACCGGTTAGTCCATCGCGCAATCTTTGGCCTGCTAACCGACTGACAATGTTTGACAGGCGAGTCGGTCCCTGTGTCGAAAACGCCTGCCACGGATGATACTATGCATAAGTTGGATTTGGCTGCGCCGACGGTCTCGCCAGAGATCGCGAAACACTTTCTATTCTGCGGGACTAAGATTGTCCGTGCTCGTCGACCACAAGAGGATCGAGACGGTGACGCTGTGGCCCTTGCACTGGTTGTCAGAACAGGATTCAGTACCACGAAGGGCTCTCTAGTCCGATCGATGCTATTCCCCAAACCATCAGGCTTCAAGTTCTATCGGGATTCCTTCCGGTATATAAGCGTCATGGCTGTGGTAGCTATGCTCGGCTTTATTGCATCGCTTGTCAACTTCCTGCGGTTGCAATTGGCTTGGCATCTAATCATCGTGCGCGCCCTTGATTTGATAACAATCGTGGTGCCCCCTGCTTTGCCGGCCACTCTTACCATTGGCACCAATTTCGCACTGAACAGACTCAAGAAGAAACAAATTTTCTGTATCAGTCCGCAGCGAGTCAATGTTGGGGGGAAGTTGGATATCATGTGTTTCGACAAAACCGGAACCTTAACAGAAGACGGGCTGGACATTCTCGGTGTGCGTGTTGCATCGCCTGCGACCGGCAAGTTTACAGATGTGTTATCGGACCCATCGACTCTCGTGCCAAGTCGCAACCACCGAAGTAGAGACGCTGCCCAAGATTCGAAGCTCAAGGCCGCTCTTTTCACAATGGCGACCTGTCACTCTCTAAGGGTAGTAGACGACGAATTGGTTGGGGATCCACTTGATCTGAAGATGTTCGAATTTACTCGGTGGTCTTTCGAAGAGGGCAAGCAAAGTCTGAACGAAGCGGACGATCAGGACCAGGGAAGTCTCGCACCATCTGTCGCTAGACCTCCTGAGGAGTACTGTGATACTCTACGAGAGGACAACGGAAACAACCACTCGGTATGTTATCATATGTGTCGTATGAGCAAAGCGGGGCTGACCCCCACAAACAGCCACCTCTTGAACTTGGAGTCCTCAGATCTTTTGAATTCGTTTCGCAGCTTCGAAGAGCGAGCGTGATTGTCAGGCAGTTCGGAAAGCCTAGTGGAGACATCTACGTCAAAGGCGCCCCTGAGTGCATGCGGGAGATTTGCCGAGAGGATAGCTGTAAGTGAATTACCGATGACCATGGCAATTACTGACCGTCTCGTTACTGATACGTGATGCACCAGTTCCTGTCGACTACGACGAACAACTCGCAAACTACACGCACAAGGGATACCGTGTCATCGGGTGTGCGACCCGCCACATCCCCAAAATGAGTTGGGTCAAGGCACAGAAAATGAAGAGACATGAAGCAGAGTCAGATTTGGAGTTTACTGGCTTCATCATCTTCGAAAACAAGCTGAAACCGACCACTGCGTCAGTGCTGAAGGAACTTTTAGACTCCAACATCAGCGCAACCATGGTAACTGGTGACAACATCCTGACCGCCATCAGCGTTGCCCGTGAATGCAACTTGGTCAACAAAACTGCACACTGCTTCGTTCCAAGATTCATTGAGGGTGAGTAAAGCAACTGTATCATTGTGAAATCTAGTTAACAGATGGAAGGGCATGCTGGCGATCCCAAGGCGAGGTTGCAATGGGAGAGCATCGACAATAGCGAGTTCCACCTAAGTGACCAGACTCTACTTGTAAGTCTCACGGAGCGGTCTTCACCATGTCCCCCCTACTTACTGTGGCGAAGCCCATGGCCCCACCAGCAGATGTCGACGCATCGCTGGCGTACAACATCAACGACATTCGCAACTACTCACTGGCTGTCACTGGCGAGGTTTTCCGCTGGATCGTAGACTTCTCACCTCCAATAATCCTTCAAAGGGTAGGTGATTATGATAGATGGTCTCATCAAACAGCTTGTTGACATTCACAGATGCTTGTCCGCGGCAGAGTTTTTGCGCGCATGTCGCCTGACGAGAAGCACGAACTGGTTGAGAAACTCCAGGGCATTGGGTACTGCTGCGGATTTTGCGGCGACGGCGCAAATGATTGCGGTGCTCTGAAGGCTGCCGATGTGGGCATTTCGCTCTCAGAAGCGGAAGCTTCCGTTGCAGCTCCATTCACATCTCGTATCTTTGACATCGGATGTGTACCAACGGTCATCCGGTACGCGGAAGACCCTTTTCGCCGGAAGGACATTGCTGACGCATCGGTGTAGTGAAGGGCGTGCTGCGCTCGTAACGAGCTTCAGCTGCTTCAAGTACATGAGTCTCTACTCGGCGATTCAGTTCACATCGGTCAGCTTTCTCTACGCGAAAGCGTCAAACCTCGGCGATTTCCAGGTGAGTCAACTACGATCCCTTCTTGTATATTGAAGGCTAAGGCAGCCACAGTTTCTTTTCATCGATCTGCTTCTTATCCTGCCAATCGCTGTCTTCAGTAAGTTCACCATGATGACGATGGATCTAGCTTGGTCCGTGCTAACGTTGGCATCAATAGTGAGCTGGGCTGGGCCCTTTCCCACTTTGTCACGGAAACGACCAACGGCGGATCTTGTATCCCGCAAGGTTCTCATACCTTTGTTGGGACAAATGGCCATTTGCATCGCCGTGCAAGCCATGGTCTATGTAGCCGTGCGAGAGCAACCGTGGTAAGTTCAAGGAAGCCACTGATGTCTAGTTGTACCACTAATTACGCTGATAGGTACATCCCACCACGCATCAACCATGAGAAGTCAAACATCAAAAACTCGGAAAATACCGTGTTATTCCTCGTGTCATGCTTCGAGTATATCTTAGCTGGGGTGGTCCTCAATGCTGGGCCTCCCTTCAGAGAGAGCGCATTGAAGAATTGTACGTTTAAAACCTCTCACATACTAGCATGTTGCTGACCTCTGGCAAGGGCCCTTCTTGGCAACTGTTGGGGTGACTCTCCTGGTCACTCTTTACATGATTCTTTTTCCGGCGCATTCGGTCAAGCGCTTGATGCAACTGACGAGAACCAATTTGGACTTTGAGCTTTTCATGATCTTGCTTGGTGCCGTTTACTTGGCTGCAGCCTGGACCTCGGAAAAGTACGTTTTCCAAAAATTGGCTAGGACTGCTGGAGTTTTCAAGGAACACGTGTTGAAGACGCCGAAGCAGAGGAAACAGTACAAGATTATCTTGGAGAACATGGAGGTGTAGGATAGCATTAATCGAGGCTTCGCATGACCCACCATGGTTGGCGCAAATACACGCTATCAGCCTCATCTATAAGTCAATATATTGTTACCTTGAGGTGACGGCTATTTTCGCAATGTTCGTCTTCGTAGACAAGAACGATATGGTGAACAGCGTAGTTGAGGGAGAAATGGACGTGTCATTGATGCTCCACTCGACCCGCATTCCGGTGCCGACACTGGAGCTAGCCCAAGCGGATCACCCCGGCTCCGAGGGGCCGGGGTTTTCGCTACGACGGCCTGAGACAGCAAGGTCAGACACGCTGCAACTCCCAACCCCCCAAACAAGCGGTAGCTGGTGAAATTCACACTCGCCGATATTCAATTAAGTCCTGTGCCACTCACTTTGTCCTGCAAACGATTGCACTGCTCATGGTCGACATCGTGAAGTCGCGTTCGTAAATACAAAAGCTGCCGGATGCTACGATAACAGACGCACACCCTGTTGTGCTCGGACTCGAATCTAGTTTCGAAGTGCAACATCTCCCAAGCCCCCCAAAAAAGTTGAGGACACGGAATTCTTTGCTCGACGGGAAACAACTACTATCTCAGTTTTGGCTTCAAACCATCTTGCTAGCTACTGGCGATTTCCTCCTAGTGAAATCACGATGAGCATGGGTAAGTCGGCCATGGTGCTTTCTCCACCACTGGTAGAGGAAGAAGCTTCTGCTGCTTTCATCATGATGGAGCTACGTCTCTGACGAGATTCAACAGACTGGATTCTGGACAGCGGCTACCTGCCCCATGCAGTTATCAGAGTTGGCATCCGACGACAGCTCCAGGAGCGTCTCGATTCCATCGCAAGCACCTCTCTCAGCCTGGATTACGAGCGTAAGATGACCTTCATCGAGAAGTTACGCACGCAGCCCATAGCCATCGAGACTGCTGCTGCTAACAAGCAACACTATGAAGTCGGCACCGGCGTGTTGGCCGCATGCCTGGGCCCTCGTATGAAGTACTCATGCTGTCTATACCCCAAGGGCGGGGAGACGCTGGCACAAGCTGAAGTTGCCATGCTGCAGACTTATGTGGAGAAGGCGGAGTTGAAGGACGGCATGAGCATTCTAGATCTCGGGTGAGCCTCCACTCCTTCCCCTTTTTTGACGGAACAGTCATGTAGAAGTAACTTGGGCTAACTCACTCCGTATAGCTGCGGCTGGGGGTCGGGCGCGCTTTATTTTGCAGAGGTGCTTCCTAACTCCAAGGTCACTGCGTTCTCTAACTCCAAGACGCAAAAGGAATACATTGATGGAAAGGCCAAGGAGAAGGGTCTCGCCAATCTCACAGTGATCACAGGCAATGTTGTTGACTATGAATTTGAGCCTGAGTCCTTCGACAGAGTCGTGTCCATCGAGGTGCGTAGCGTCCCAAACGGGCACAGTTGAATCGCCACTGATGAGCACAAGCTTTTTGAGCACATGAAAAACTATGAGTTGTTGATGGCCAAGGTCAGCAGGGCCTTGAAAGGAGGCGGCAAGCTTTTCGTGCATATTTTTGCACATACGACTACGCCTTATGACTAGTAAGTTAAAGTATTTTCCTGCTGAGGAATACCATTACTGACATAGCCAACGCAGCGAGGAGGGTTGGATGACAACGCATTTCTTCACGGGAGGCACCATGCCGTCTGTTGATCTGCTTCTGTACTTCCAGCATGATCTCAAAATCCAGAGGCAGTGGTGGGTGAACGGCCAGCATTACTCCAAAACGTGTGAGGTACGTTTATTTCCCCTTTTCAATGCTTGTCCCTGAAGGCACCGAGCGACCTGACGTCTTTGCAATAGGATTGGCTGAGCAAGATGCTTGCACACAAGAAGGAGATCTGGCCGCACTTGGTCGAGACCTACGGAGAGCAGGATGCCAGCGTATGGTATAACCGGTGGCAGATATTTTACATGGCGTGTTCCGAGCTGTTTGCCTATCAAGGCGGCGACATCTGGGGCATTGCGCACTACCTGTTTGAGAAACCAAACTGATGATTCCTTGGAAACGCACGTGTAAACCTGTCATATTGATAGAATAGCCATATCTTCTTTGTTGGCTTCGGTCCGGCAAATCTTGATCAAGCCATGGCTGGTAATGCTTATTTTGCTCTAAAGTCGATTCCCTACACGGCACCGGGTCAAAACGTGATGTTCAGTGATCCCAGGGATGCTTCCAGCCCAGCAAAACGGGACCTACACACGATTGTCAGCTACAATAGATTCAACTGCACGCATCACCAAGGGCATGAACACACCATCCTTCTTCGCGCGATACATCAGCTACGAAGGGCAAATAGTCAGCATGTCTGTTTCTCGAGCGTCATACCGTGACGAACAACGCACAAAGAACCACATGCCAGCACCCAGAGCAGTCGCTGTATAGCGGTAAATGCCCGGGACGTGAGGCGTGGGAGGCTTGGGACCGGGATACATCGTGAGAATGCGGCAAGGCGCGTCGGTCGGGGTAGACGGGATATTCTGTAAAGTTCAATTAGAAGCTATTTTAAAACCGATTGAACAGAATGGCATGAACTTACAAACCTCGAATATCGCCGGTTCCTCTTCGCACGCGGAGTTGGGGCAGGGACGGGGGAGGGCAGCTGGAATGGTGATGAAAATGCTAATAGGACGAACGACGTTGAAGCATCACCATACAAGACCGAGAGCGCTGTGTGGAGCTCTGCCTTGGCTGTTTAGGTAATTGGGGGTGAGCCGGGAGACGACCAATCAATCTGTATCGATTAGGTGCCTCCCTTAGTGCCTATGTGCCTGCCTGAAACCCTAGGCACCTATCTAAACACCGCTGATACAGCCCTTTGTGCTCGGTGGGGCTTGTCCGGGACACTGGCCCGGATGTTGGCTGGTCCCCACCGTCTCAAACCATTCCAGGTTGATAGCCCCTGGAGCAGAGTGGACACAGAACTCTTGGAGTGCTGCACAATGGCACAAAGACACGGCCCCGTAGCACCATTTCTAGCGGGACGTTGAACCGATAATGAAGTCCCCGTATCGCAACATCAACGTACCTTATTTACCTACATAGACTTCAAACGTTATTCGAGCCACCTATCCTCCAGCGCCGTTTCCAATAAACCTCTACATCGACCAGAAGGCAGCAGCGAATCCGCCTGTATTGTCTCCTGATCTAATCTTTTGATTACCCTATCAGACACACTTTTCTGGGACCCTGCTGTCGGCGAAACGATTAATCACAGCACTGGTCACCTCGAAGTGCCAATCCAACCAGATAGCCGACATGGCAACTCCCAAATTTAACTCCAAGTCGCCCACGATACGGCGCATACGTAAGAGTTGTCTGCGCTCCTGCTCGTCTATCAGTCATTGTCTGATCTGTTCGCGTCCAGTTCGCGAAGCACAGGAACTTTCCAACTCGCCATCGCCAGATTACACGGCAACCCCGCTAGAAACCGATCTATTCGAATGGCACTTCACCTTCCGCGGGCCCCCGAATTCTTCCTATAGCGATGGAATCTACCACGGTCGAATCGTCCTGCCACCCACATATCCGCTTCGTCCGCCCAGCTTTCGATTCCTTACTCCGAGCGGCCGTTTCGAGACGAACCGCGAGATCTGCCTTAGCATCAGTGGTCATCACGAGGAAACATGGCAGCCCGCCTGGGGTGTGAGAACGGCGTTGGTTGCGTACGTCGCTCATCATAATAGTCTTGACCTGGCCGCCTTTACTTACTACCAGCCAGGTTGCGCAGCTTTATGGAGACAGATCCTCGAGGCCAACTAGGCGGTCTCGAAACAAGCGACGCTGTACGGAAGCGTCACGCGACGGCATCTCAGACATTCAGGTGCCTAACATGCGCTAAAACCAATCTCGAGATTATACAGGAATGCGAGGAGAGTGCCAAATCCATCGCCGTCACATCAGAACCCTCTGATGTCGAAATACCCTCAGAGTTGAAGATGGGATGGAAAGATGAAATGGGCAAGCCGGCCGAAAGACAACTACACGCGCAGGAAACCCCACGGCACGACGATGGTGATGCTGAGAGCGCGGAGCTCGCCGAGGGTTTCGTCCGCACTGCGCCCGAAGTGGGTGGGCCAGAAACAAGTCAAGTGCCCAAATCACAAGTACCAGCGCCTGACATCGCAGCGCGAACATCAAACGGGCCCTCCCCATCGATATTGACCCCAACAAGGACAGTGTCCTTGCCTCCGGCACCGAACGTTCGGCAAGCTCACCAACGACCGCACGACGAGGGGGTACCGCTGTGGGTGGACCGGGCCATCGTTGCACTTGTGGTATTGCTTCTAGCGATGATTCTCAAAGTGGTCCTGGACTTTTAGCCAACCATTTCTGTACAAACAGGTGGGATTTTCAGTGTGATTCAGCTTGTCCGTTACTTACTTAGACGTGCGGAGGCTGTGATGGCAACTTGTTGACACTGTCGCTCTTCCAGGAACATTCGGGGCGGGTGTTCACATGCTAATGGATGGGTCTACGACACAGAGACACGGTGGCAGAAAGGCACATGTGAAGGGCCTGGATTGGATAAGAGGCTGGTAACTGTCTGTGAGCGTGTTCTCCACTTGCTCTTAGAATGCAGATTGCGTCGAGTTTGATACGCGAATGTATACGGCGAGTATCTGTGCCAGGATTCTTAACCACGGTTTCAATTTCTCAGCTGTCCTGGACTTGCATTCTGTGGTTCCCAATTGTCTTGCCATTTCCTTCATTGTAGTTCGATGCATAGGCTCCCTGTCCCCAAAGTGACTGAGGACCTGCTGTAGGGCAAGCCTTCCATCATAACGTAATGCCTCGCTGCCTCCCGACAAGCAGCCACCACCACTCGTCCACTGTGCAGCTCGTCCCGTGTGCCATGTGCTTTAACACCCCATTATGTCGGCCCCAATCGAAAACCATTTCAACCTCAAATTCTTGAAGGTATGGTTTCAAAACTGCGCAAACAGACGGGACGTCCAGCGGGCCGCGCGTGGCTATGACGAAAGCGACCGCACCGAGGACCTGTGACCAGCGTTCTATGTTGAGCTCCCCAAAAAAGTCAGACCACAATGGTATGGCTCGGTTCTGGTTTTCTCGTGGGGGCCTGTTGCTTCTTGCACGTTCGATAACCTCTAAATCGTCGTCGTACAGATACTGTCGTGTGGGAGCGATCTCAAGGCCAAAGTTATAATACGACTTCGGGTACTTTCTGCTTTCATAGTTGCCGGGATCAAATCCCAGAGGAATGCTCGGGACATCGACTGTGGTTACGGCCACTCTCCCATTCGCCTGCAGGTTCATCATCGCCATAACTTCACCGTCTCTGAGAACGTAAGGAATACGAATCTTTTCGCCTCTTCGAAAGCTGACATCAAGTCGCGACTTGAAGCGGGCGGCGTCAACAAACTTGTGCTGATGCGTCCACTTCATCAACCGAGGAAGAAACGTCTCAGTAAGGCGGTATGGCCTTCCCTCGAGTGCCTTCAGCTTGCTGTCCGTAATAATGCCCTGGCCTTGGAGGGTCTCAACCGCTTGCTCGAGCAAATTTTGAATGCGCTCCTCGTCCCCGCCTCCTATGCTGGCCATTTTTTTCCTTATGTCTTGGGGTGCGTATCTATCGCGCGGCGTGTAGCAGAGAGAGCGAAGCCAGGACATTGCTGTAACCAGGTCTTTTGCTTTTGCATTTGGGGTAGATCCGCTGACTTCATCGATGAGGGATGTAGCCGGGCGCGAGGTAGCGGCTTCAAATCTGTTAAAGACAGACATCTGAAAATTGTAGTAATCTTCGCGCCAATTATCAACGTCTGCCCAGGCTGGTGCGAGAGAATATCCTTGAACCAGGGCATTTTTGCTCGCGGGCAGCTCCACGGAGTCCTCGACGAGCCCAGCGGTCCATCTGATGAGACGGACCCAATCGTAGTCGACATAGTTATCAAAGTCAATCGGAGGGAACTCATTGTTCTCGTAGGCGGGAATGAATCGAATCTGGAATCGTTCTGTGAGTTGACTAATGAACGTCCGTCGGTCCTTCCGGGCTTTGGACCAGAATCGCCGCATAGCACTGAGAGCCATGTCTGGGAATAACGTCATCATCAAGCCCCATTCGATGACCCTGTCGGCGCCGCCTAGTAATGTCCTAGTCACAACGAACGCCGCTATCAAGATTGTCTCGTTGGTCTCATCCAGTCCGTTGTTCCGCTTGGATGCCTCTCGCAGGTCCGCATCCTTTGGCAGTGTTATGAGCGACCTGATCTTCAGATCTATACCCACTACAAGGTCCTTTGTGTTTGTGATGGGTTGCTTCTGTCGTCGCTTGCGTCGCCGTTGACGGCCAAGGTCACCACCCCAGAGATGATCGGCCGCAGTGGTAGTGAAGTCGGATAAGCGCACGTCGAACAATAGAGACGCACTCAATTGATTAGCGGAATTCCAGTCAAGACGAGGATTCTCCCATTTGCCTGGCAGGTCGCTAACGCCAAGATTGATGAAGATGTGCTCTGGCACGATTGACTCGGCCAACATGAGCTTCATACCCTCAGTCGACAACTCCCAGTCGAAGCAGGCATCGACTTGCTCAGAAAACTCCTGATACTGGCTGCTTCTTGGAAACTTGGTCCGCGGGCGGCCGCGCCATTTCACCATCTCAGCCAAGTTTTGCGGTAGATTTTGTTTCAGGAACCATCGAGAATCCGGCATCCAACCTAGTGTTGTCAAGCTGCAGTCTTCGACATCGAACAAACTGTCGTCAGTTGCCGGCCAGACGCCCCTTTGACCTACAATAACGGTGGCTTCAGTGAAACTGACGTTGAAGTTATTGAATACAGCGTCCTTGGCTGGTGCTGACGGGTATGTTGGCTCAGGATTTGGGTCGTCGGGTAATAGCAGGCAATGTCTGACTTCCTCTGGCACATCTTGGTTGAGATAAGTGTTGGGTTTAAGGAACATCAAGGGGGTTGCGAAGCAGCTTCTTCCAGCTTCCATCGAATTTGACCGCGTAAGTCCGTTGTGCGCACCCTCGTTGCCGTCCATAAAAAATCGGAAAATGTCCCGACGTCGTGTACCATCAGGGCCGTCATCCTCGGCATGTGTAATTTGCTCCTTCGTCACCATTCTCCTCTTCCGTTTCCGTGGAGTCAGATTGGTACCCTCAGGTGGGGTGAGGGGCCGTTCATTTGCGGCTTTCTTAGCATAAAAAGGCGCATCAAGAACGTCGATTCCCTGGACGAGTTTTCGCCGGCTCGAGAAAACGGGCTGGACGTCGTTGTTGTCTTCATCATGGAGCCCGGTCTTGGGAGTGAACGCCAAGGGTGTATAGGCCTTGGGATGCGCTGCAGTGATCTTTGCTTTCATGGCTGCGCCAGCTGGTGAAGATGCCTCAACCTCGGGGACCCTCAGTAATTGGTAATTTGCCATCATACCTCTAGAATCCTTGAAGGCATGTGTACTGACAACGATCTGTTTTCTCTTGGCCAATCGGGCCAGGGCATCTTTGTAGCTCTGGTGAGCCGGTGCGGGTTCGCCCGGGAAAGCTACTTCCCACGTTGCGAGAACGGCATACCAAACGGAGCAACCGCCAGGGAAGACTCCACCGTTGGCATGCAGGATGTGCATGAGAATTTTCTCCATGAGATCCTGCCCGGAGACTGCCAAAGCACCTTTGATGCCAATACTGGTTCGCAATGCCTCTGCGTTTGATAAGCCGAGTGTAACAGTGGATGATGTTTCTGCCCCTGGTGTATTCGACTTAGAGTTGATTTGCCCTCCACTGCCGCGCTCTTGTGCACCATATGTCGGTAAAAAGGCTCCACCAGCTTCGACAAAACTGGTCGATGGACTGCCGCGACGGTCAACAGCAGCAGCACTCGTTGTTGTTGTTGTTGTTTCCTCAACTCGCAAGCGTTTGAAGGACGGCTGGATTGGGGCGTGTTCTGCAGGCATGTCTCTGACAGTACCGTCTGTGTCATCAATAAGGCCACTCATCGAAGATCTGACGACAGAAATTGGTGGCCGAAGCGAGGATGATTTGCACGGTTGGCGTTGGCCGCTAATGCGGTTTCTGACCCCAAATCTCGCCTCAGAAGATGCATGCGACCATCTAGGCCGTGAGGTCCTCGGATTTCTTCTTCGAGTAGCAGTGTTGCCATCTGAGATCAGGGTATCCATATTGCTCAAGTCATCTAGGCCGGCTGCTGCCGCATGAGGGGCAACAGCACCCAGTGTAAGACCGCCCGTTGGCGAGGGCAGTATTTCCTCCGCTTCATCGATGGCAGGTGTTGTGGCTTGGCGATGTCTAGTCTGACGAGGTGTCACTAGCTTTGCGGAAGTAGATATTCTGTCCACCAATTCTGGCGGAGCTGTCGCTGGTGGAACGTAACTCGGGTTACAAGTCGTTTTTGACTTCTCGAGATGGTACTTGATGCCAACGTCATTCTTCCAAGTTCCTCCACACTTTTCGCATTTAAAGACGCGCCGTATCTTCTTTTCTGCTCCTTTCTTCTTTCCACGTCGCCCTCCGCGTCTTGTTGTTTCTCCAGCAGCGGCTTCGTTGACCGGCTGCAAGGAATTTTCCTGAGCGGTTCGATCCTGATTTTCATGGGCGACCACAATCGATTCTTGTGTGTCGTCGGGAGCTACGGTGTCCTCGGCCGATTTCAGACTAACAGATGCATCGTGTCCTGATTCTAGACGTGAAACAGAATCTCTCCTCAGCGAAATGCGAGCCTCCACTCTGTCTTCGAAGCCGGTCTCAGCCGATGCGGGATCGACTCTGTTTTCGCCCCTTGAGCCTCCTGCCAGAGCCCGCGTAACATCCGACAACGCTTCCGGCTTGACCTTGAGTTTAACAATCATAGAGTCAAGCTCTGTGCTGACTGCCTTTCTTCTTCCCATGCTTCCACGAGTGGGCATCCTCAAAGACAATTCAGGGTTGGCATCATGGCTAATCGCTGGCGGAACGTTGTGCTCTTCGTCTAGGCCTTCTTGATACGCCAGCAATGCCAGCCTCGCCCGCTTTCCCCGACGAGATCCGACATCTCGAGGTTCGTTCGCATGTGAGATTCCCAGAACCTCGGCTTTCCGTTTTGAGCCACTCATCGTTGCTCCCTTGCCAGGGCCTTGCGCAAGTGCTGTCAGACCACCGACAGCGCGAACAGTATCCGGCGGGATAGAAGGAGCCGTGAAAAGACTGATCGATCCTGCGTGTGAATCGCCCCTGTGCACTGCGTCGTTTACACCATAGTCGTTATCCCCGACTGCTTCAGCAGAAGAAGGTTCCGGAGGCCCTGGCAGTTGCGGGGCGAAGTAGCGATATTGTTGTGACTTGCCCTTTCGATGCATTTCACTCAGTACTTGGAAATGCTTGAGGTGGTTCGGCTGCAGCGCTGGAATAGCCAATGTTGATGAGATGGACGACAAGTATCTCCTGAATGACGGTCCTAGTGTCGAGTCACCTATTTGTTTGTTCGAGAGACCAGCGGAGCCGGCAGCTTGGATGTTGTCGAACACAGTGGTGGTCAGGGGCTTGTCGGCAACCCAGGGAGCAGCACGCGTCTTTTTACTGCGCTGAGGGCCCAATCCTGGGCGCGAAGCGGTATCGAGAGTTGGGCCTTGCGCATTCATTCCATCGGCGGGGAAAAGTCCGGCATCAAAGCCAGAGGATGAGAACGAAGGGCTCTTTTGTTTTCCGGTCGCCAGATAGGCAGCCCAGTCCTCATGAGTAAGGTCATGGTCGAACTTGAGACAGTCCTTGAATAGCTTGCCTGACAAGGTGGCGCCCACGTATTGAATGGCACCTGTTCGAACGAAAAAGCGACAGGTCTTTGCGGCAACTTTCATCTGCCACCTGAGGCCTAGGATGCCCAGCTTACACCGCAAGTCGTGATATCTGATGATTCGGTAGGCTTTCACCACGGCCATAATTGTTTGGGCCAGAGAAATATAATCGACCGAGTCCCCTGTCCATCTTCCACGCCAGGAAACAGGTTCGAGATCACTTGCCAATGCTTCCCGAGACATGTCGACATTGGCGGGCATACCAGCGGCGACTTTCGTGGGGTCCGTAGGAAGCGCAGGAGCAAAGCGTGTAAGCCACAGCTTGCTTGTTTTTGTGCCTCTCACAAGAGTTGTGCGCTTGGAAATGTATCCCTTTTCTGCGAGAGCGTCCGTTCTTTTTGGCAGTGAACGTTTGTCTTGGCCGACAAGTCGACCAAGATCTCCCTGCAGAATTCCTTGCTGCTTCGTCGATGCTATTCCAACCAAGGCCATCCACTCCAGCCTTGGAACTCTTCGGTAGTCTGGAGCGTGTCCAGCGATCGATTCCCACATCCGATCTTCAGATACGTAGATGCGAGGTCTTTTGCGCGGCAGGTCCTTCCGCGGTGGCCCCGCACCTGGTTGAGGCTGAGCTTCGTTTGTAGATGCAACATCACGGCTTGCAATGGATGCACTGGATGACTTCATTGCGATGCCATCTTGGGCGTCTGCATCTGGTATGGTCAGGATATCCGACAAGGGTAAGTGATTCCATTTTCGATTGGCTCCAACAGAAAGATCCTTCCTGATCCTAAGCCAGTCCCATGCTGTGGACCAAAGGAGTTGGTTAGTCCTCGTCGAGGCCGATGGATCGACCATAGATATCTTGTCGCTTCTCAAATGCGCATCTTGGTAGAATGCGTCTAGTGCTTCCAAGACGTGGGAAACGGTACATCCTGTTCAATGGTCAGTAACAGACCGAAAAGGCACCCGCTCGTCGCTTATGCCCTTCTCGGTTAGACACGCGATGTATACACAGCCGACTGCCTCGCGCATCGTCCTCATTGACATTTGATGCGAGGTTATAAAGGATGCAAAAGGAAAGAACAGGCTAAGAACAGGCTAGTTTCAGTAGACAGATTCACTCACCTAGGTCACCGTAGCAGGAGACATCAGTGATGAGTGACTCGATCAATCGCTCCAGGTCGCGGGACATGATGAATGTTCGTGTCGGTTGTACATTATCAAGGGGGGCGTCTTGATGAGAAAAAAAATCGATATCTTGCTAAGTGTTTGTGGTCGACGATGGAAGATCGAACCTGGACTCCTTGCGATTTGCGTTTGTCAGGTCGGTTGCCGAAATCCCAGTTTTTGCGTTTGCATAGTCGAGAACCCCGCTAGCATGCAGCCCGGACCGAGCCACATGCACTGTCTCAGCTGTCATCACATAAGCTAGCCGTGGCTGGTGCAAAGAGTGGGTCACGACAAGTGTTGCAGCCACTACCTACCTACTACCTGCGAACACCTACCTGCGTTGCACTTCACAGCACCCCAGTGCAGGCACCTTACATTAGCCAGGTAGTGATGTTTACCTACCTTACCTTAAGTAATACTCAAGTTCTCAGTGAGCTTACTTCTTTCTGAATAGGTAGCGCATGAAACTTAAGAGCGCAACCTCCACCTCTCTGGCAGGTTTGATAACGGAGATGATGGGAATCCTTTCATTCTCTGATTCACTCTTTCACCCCTGGCTGGTTAACTGAGACGAAGACCTGCATTTTCAGATATTTACCAATACGTTACAACGTGAAATATTGCGAATCTACCAGGGGTATGCTATAATGAAGCAGCAGCAGCTTGACGAGCCAGCTTCTCTTCTTTCTTCCTTCTGAATGTAGCGACAACCTGCTCACGGATCTGCTGGAGCTCCTCCCGCTGTCGCAAACTTCCCGCAGACTTTGGGACGTTAGAAACATCCACGGCGGCCCCGCGTACAAGAAGCTTCTCGCGGGAAATCTTGGGGAGTTCTGGAGGCGCTTGAACGACATCGTGCAGGCCTGTCTTGACCTCTCCCCGTGTTTTCTTCAGAACCGCCCACGGGTCCTCTTCACGGTCAGCTCCTTTGCCCCTCTTTCCCTTCTTCTTCTTCTTCTTTCCACCCTGGCTTGGCTCCTGCATACTAGCCCGTGTGATGCCGAATGTTCCAAACGTCCCTCCGTTGATCTCCTCATCCAGCTCACGTTCAGCAGCCTCCTCGGCCTCTTCTTCCCGTTGCTCCTGAATTTTGCGTTCTTCCTCCCGCCAGAGATCGTATAACTTGTGCATCTGGCGCTCCTTACGTGTTCTTTGTACCTTGAGACCAACTGGGTCCTTTCCATCTTTAGCAGTCTTGTTGACGAGACCCGAAAGGGGCAGAGCCGCGTTGACGCGGGCAGCAAAATCAGACATGCTCTCTCCAGGGCGAATTTTTGGCATTCCTTCTTTGACAACGGCATCTACAGCGCCTGTGTCCGATTCACCCGGCTTCTCTTTTCCCGCCTGGTTGTTCTTCTTCCTCTTTTGTTTCGTTGGATGACCATCATCCAGCCCTGATCGGAGCTTCTTGCCTTGAGAGAGGGCCATCAGGCGCTTAAAAGCGCGAGGAGTATCATCGTTCTTGTTTTTTCTTTTCTTCGTGACACCGTCGTTATGAGTTTTGGGATTTGCCTGCTGGGCATTGCGGCCCTTGTTGACGGGCAATGACCTCGCAATCTGGCTGGGCGGAAGATCGAATCTATTCACACTTTGTTAGGCATCGACGCATAGGTAGAGCGCGAATCAATGGGCTGCTTAACATACGACGATGGATCTTGCTCCCGCCTGGTATGTTTGTGGGGCATTGTGGGTGATGTCACTTGCTGGTGGTGAGGCTTTCGAAGGCTGCATCGGACGCCTTGTCTGCAAAACTCAATAGGTCGCGATGAAAATTTTGGATTAGGTCAGCACAGGGTCGGCGGGGAACCAGAAGCTTATCTGATAAGCATACGTACTACCTTAGTGTACTGCGTAGTGCAGACAGGCGGGGGCCCCTGAAACCACCTCGTTTCCGTCTCCAGCAAAGGACAGGGGTCTTTCAGCAGGGACCCTGGGGGCGATCCACAGTCGAGAGATCACACGCGGGATTGCGGGATTGCACGCGCTGGCAGCTTGGCACCTGATGTTCCTATGACAGGTCTGCAGCAAGATGGGTTGCCTTCATCCCGACGAGCAGCCAAACACTCTCGGTGTGCAACTAAGGCGAGAGACCCATTGGGTTACGATATCTCCCGTTCCTTTTGCCAGATTTTAATATCCCTTTCCGATAACTCTATACGCTGACGCCGCAATCTCACTACACATCTTAGGTACTCATACCTGGACACTGGACTAGCTAGTCGGATACATACTGCAATTCGCAACAGCGCAGCGAGGGGAACCTTGAGCAGCAGGCTGAAGGGGTGGTGTGAACCGGCATATTATCCGCGGCATGTCGGGGCTTTTGGACGAGAAGCTTGTTTGAATGACTAGGTAAACAAAAGTGTCTCTGACTACGCAGTACATCATACTGCTTCAAGCATGTACTTGCTGTGCGCAATTTGCGGTGTAATCGAACACGGGGCGTGAGGGAGGCACGCTGAGGCAAGCAGAGGCACGGTTTCTGTTTCTTGTCTGAGGGGCACGGCATGCAGGCGTGGGCAAGTGAATAATGACCATTCACGGAAACATCGCCGTCGTCGTCGCCGTCACATTGAGGGTCGCAAGGCGGGCGCCCGCCTAGGGGTTTGTGCGTGGGATCTCATATGGTTACTTGGCACAACGGAGCGATTGGGGTTGCCTGAGGGTTGACCAGGTCTTGAGGCGATGCAGACACAGGCAATGGAACATCCCATAGCTCCCGTCAGAGCCCTAGCAGGGTTCCTGGGCCAATGCATCACACACAAGCAGTCGGTCAACCAAGCTCAAGTCCGGTCTCTGTTTCGCGTATCGGGCTGCTGGAGGGCAAGGTTGGAGGAGACGGACCGCGATGGAGGATGTCGTGCAAAGTCAATTGCGACCGTCTGAATATATGACACCGGGCGATGTTTTCGGACGTGTCTCAGTGCCGACGCCTGACGATGAGCGTACGTACTCGTCCGCCCTGGCGTTTGGTGGAGGTGCTGATGAAAGCGAGGCTTCTGATCAACAGTGGTTTAAGTCTGGCTTCTTGGAATTTGCGTGCGTGCGTGCTCAAGCCATGCCGATGCTGAGGTTCCGGGCGAGAGCCAGTCACGAACTAAGATAAGCACACGTCGCGGTCAACGAGGCAGGTGGTTGGCCATTTGCGGAGAGAGGTGAATGTCTTTTGCGTTACCCATGCGGAGCTGGGGGCCTTTGTCATAGGCAGGCAGGCAGATCGGTGAGGTTGGTCTGGTCTTGCTTGGCAGGCTGGGCAGGTGGACGGCGCAAGCTAACCATCCTCAGTTGATGACCTGCTAGGTCCATTAGCGGAAAACACCGCACTTCAGAAAGAAAGAGGACATAAGGTAGGTAGGTAGGTAGGTACTGGACTGGCACAGTTTGACAGGGCCCGCTGGTTTATCCGCCTATCAGCTGCGCCACGTGCCTAAAACAGTTTGGCTTGGAGGGCGGGGCACTGGAACGCAGAGTCATAAGGTAGGTAGGTAGGCTGCACAGACCAAGATCCGCCGCGGGGGAGATGCTGCAAGATGCGTGGTGGGAGTGTTGGGAATTGGGAACCGACGAGACATCAACCGACACCGACACCGACCACTGAGGAGCGGCCTAGGGCAAGCCAGGGCGCTGGGATGGATTGGATTGGACTGGATTGGGATTGGAGGCGAAAAGAGGGATTTCCTTGAGACCCTAAGCTCGGACAGGGATTCCATGAGGGCCAGACCTTGAAAGACGCTGGTTCGCCATTCGACTCAGGCATTCCGACACGACGCGATGGGTTTGAGGGGCATGCCGAACAACCTTAGTTTGGCAGCAACAACGAACGATGCTAACGACAATGGGAACCCGCCCGGCGTGCACCCATGTACTGTACTTCGTGTGCTTGTTTGCTCGAGTCGCTGTCCGGCGGCAGCGAGCGATGCTAACCATGCAGCTATCATGGCACGAATTTGGCGACGCGGCAGCAAGCAGAAACAGAAACACCCGCAGAAACGCTCTTTCGGGTCCCGCGCCCACCATGTTCCTTGCTTAGGGGCCCCCTGCCCTCCAACGCCCTCCTGCCATCTCTTCGCCTTGACCTCCACGGCCGTCGTTCCTCTCTTCTGTTTTCTGTCGGGCAACAAGCTGGACGACTAGAAAATGCTGAATGCGCCAACCAGTAGCTAACCCGCGCCCTATCGCAGTAGTCGATGCCGCTGGTGAACCGCCAACATGAGAACGAGCAAGCCACTGTGCCCCTCAACTCTACCTACCCAAGATACTCCAAGCACTCGAGATACGGCGCGTAGCTGGTCTGGAACCTGGAGTCTGGATTCTGGAGTCTCGAGACCGGGGTCTGGTGCTCGGTTCTCGTTTCCTTCCACGGGGGCGTTAGTGTTCGGTCAAGTAAAGTAAGGAAAGGTGGTTAGCTGGTATGTCTCCTCGCCCTTCGTCCTCGTGCCTCATCCCCCGTCCACCGTTCCTCTGTCCGCCTTCCCTCGTCCCAGCCCGTTGCCCTGAGTCCCGGTCCCTGTTCGCGTCCCAGCTCCTCGTATGTGTCTCGTCTCCCAAGCCCCCCTTCCTCACCATCAACTTTGGCCAGCCCGCCCGCGCTACTTATACTCAAAATATGCCGTCAGGCACCTTTACCTTGCATCGACAGGACTACCTTGCCCGCGCTTCCCTAGTTCTACCCAGCGCCGCCCCTCTCAGCTCCAAAGTCTGTTCTTGACCGTCCATTCTGATCTTCACCATGCTCGGATCCGCTTGCCGTTTTGTCATTTATAATTCCTGCCCCCATCTTGCACTACCATCATCCTTCCTGCCGCCATTGCTTGTCTCGACCTCCATTTTACGCTACCCTGTCTTAGCTGACCTTGCGTTGACCAAAAGCTCTGCTTGTCGCTCCTGGCACCAAGGCTAAGCTATCCCAAGGTAAACGCTCGTCTATATTTGGAGTGTCTTGCTGCCTCTCCCGTTTACTATTTACTTCGTCGGCCCCTCCGCAACCGTTCGCATCTCTTGGCTGCTGCCCTTTGTGGCTATTCTCTTTGTGTGCCTTCTCTCGACTTAAAAACCGACCCTTGCTCGGCCTCCATCGCCAAGTACTCTTATGGTTCCAGACCTGTTCGACTTTGAGGCACGCTGAACACATTTCGTCGCCTCCTTGACATCAGCAGGCTTCAACAAGAGACACCCGTCCAAACGCACTTACACGACATGCTCTGCTGACCAGTCAACCGTCACGGTCACAACTTCAAGAGAGCGGGGCGTCATCGAGCAACCCAAAACGACACTGGATTTCTTGAGAATTACTTCTTTAAATTCACTCAGGTCTCTACGGGTTTCAAACACAGCTTCGATTCCCCCTTCTGTGAAAGCTTCCCGTAACCCACCGTCAACATGCCATCGTCAAGCAACGCCAGCCTGGACGCGATAAGCGATCGCTTCCGACAACTGTGGTCCCGAAGTACCACCACAATGCCCCGGTACAGAGACTCTCCCGAGGACGAAGACAGCGCCGATAGAGACGTCGAGGCCCCACCAACTCCAACAGAAAGCTGTACCTCCGAGGACCAGTTGCTCACCCCCGCCTACATGACCCCGAAGCCATGGACCAGGAAGAGGTCCTTCTTCATGTGCGGTGCTGTGTGGCTTGCCATGCTGTAAGTGACGCAAACTCGGTCTTCCAGGCTCGACTGATTAACCTCTGTAGCTTTATTTTTGTTCTCCTCAACCTGGTTCTATTTGCAGCGCGAGAGGTCTGGGACAGCGCCTCAGAGGAATTTGAAGAAGCAAGCATTGTCGTTCCCATTCCGTGCCACTCACATAACGACTATTGGAGAAGAAGACCAGTGTTCTCGGCCCTTCAGGTGGGCTGCGTAGGGATCGAGGCCGATGTCTGGCTCTATGGCACTGAGCTGTTTGTCGGACACGACAGGTGGTCCCTTCGCGAGGACAACACATTTACCAGCCTCTACATCGATCCCTTGGTTCGGCTTCTGGAGGAACGAAACTCAGGTCATGAGAACTATACGGATCAACGTCCCCGCGGTATTTACGAGGCAAACCCGAACCAAACCCTTATACTACTTGTAGACCTCAAGACAAACGGTGCGGAAACATGGCCAGAGGTGGTGCGCCAGCTCCAACCCCTGCGCGACAGAGGGTGGCTGAGTACCATCATTGATGGCCAGGTCAACTATGGTCCCATCACAGTTGTAGGAACCGGTAACACTCCGTTCGATATGCTGGTCCAGAATACCACCTATCGGGACTATTTTTTTGACGCTCCGCTCACCAAACTCGATACGAAAGACTTTAACCCGACAAACTCGTACTATACCAGCGTCTCCTTCAAAAAAGCTGTCGGTATCGTGTGGTTCGGCGACCTGTCGAAGAGCCAGATCACGAAGTTGAGGGAACAGATCAAGCAAGCCCATTCTCGGAGCTTGAAAGTGCGGTACTGGGATCTCCCTGCCTGGCCAATCAGCATCAGAAACCATATTTGGGGCATCCTTATCCGTGAAGGTGTGGACATATTGAACGTTGATGACCTCAAAGGCGCCAGAAGAGAGTGGGATCTCAGAGGCTGGCCTACCCTGGGCGCGAACTCTTCGACGCCAGCGTGAGCGATGGGGGGCGACGCCCTTATCGGGAACCACAATCTACCTCGCTGACCACCAAGGCTCTGAAAGCTCTAAGGGTC